GTCTTGAACTGACAGTTACACAACTTACCAACTGGTGACCGAAATGTGTACTGAATCCAGTTACAGGGAGTCCATATTGACCCAAATAGTCTTGTAGTAAAGTAGCTGACATCAGCATTCGGTAACTTAGGTTCCAATCTCTAAATGAACTTGAATTTACTGAAGATTGTGGATAGACCGTACTGATGAGCATCAAAACTTCCGAAACTCAGAAGAAGTGAGGCTTTCTAGTCATTAAAACAAACATTTAACATTGGATGCTCAGTGTTCCATAGAGAGTTTTTGATCTGGTTAAATTATATAACATATAAATTGCAACTTTTTGGAAGTAAGAGCCGGTACGTTGAAAAAAATATGAACCAGGACCTTCTAGTTTCATTTCTGTATTATCTTTTACCCATCAAAATTGTTATGATGTACGACGTAATGAGTAATGATATTCGCCTAGTGAATCAGTTGTGTTCAAGGTGTTTGTTAACTGCCATTATTTCCTGATAAAATATTTAAGACTAGAATCATACAAAGATGTTTATCCGTGCTAAGTTAGTAAAAATAATTTACTATGAAGAAATAATCTTGCTTAACAGAGTGCTGTGTATGTCATTTGAAAGACAAATTACAGAACAACCTGAAGTAAAAGTCCAACCTTGGAAATTACCCTTCTTAATAAAATCGCAAAAGTCGGAGATTATCAAAGGAAAAATGTAAAAGAATATAAAATGAATGCAGAGGAATAACTGACGATTTTTTCAACAGTACACTGGATATAGATGATAAGTTGTGAATGCATCTGCCCCATTGTGACAAACTTTGAGCCATTTCACCGAGAGTCCCCATAACTATTGACTGTTAACATCTTAAGAGTCATGGTGAAGAAGCTTAAATTTTCATGCCATCTTATTCTTGACATCCACCGATTGCTTCACACTGTATACTGAAGCAAAACGCGCAAAACGCGCCACAAAGACACCGTGAATCCCTAAATGGATGAACTGGCGATTAAAATCACACATATATATCCTTCATTGCCTATCCTTGAACCATGATGACGGTGTTGATCAGTTCTATAGAAGATAGTATACTTTAAAGGTGTCTAAGTTTCAGGAATCAAATTCTTTCAAATTGTCAGGCTGATACTCCACCTAATAAACTACAAGTATTTAAGTACTAACCGGATTTGATCGTTACTTCAGACAATAAGTGTTTTGTCAAAGTGTCAATTGAGTAAGAGATACATGGAACTGTGTACTTCATCTAACCAGCCACGTAGTAAGAAATTACATTCACATTTCAGATTGAGGAGAATCAGGAAGGAAAATGAACTGATTGGTTCTCAGGGAAAGGGTATCAGATCAAGTAGTTCAGTTGACTGATGTGCGTAGTAGGACAATAAGTGAAGATGAAAGAAAACCTAGATGGTGATAGAATTCATACCACTGGCCTCCGAGTTACTGATCCAGAGGTGAATCGGTGTAATGAGGAATTTATAAAACTTTTTCTACAGAAACCAGGCTGAACGAATAAACGTGCACTTTTATGGAGTGCACTGCGTTAAACCTAACTGTAGAAGTACAATATTTCAGGGTCCCTCAGTCATAAATCACACTTTCTTTTGGATATGATCTTCTGTAGTTATTTTTTAGTTAGGTCAAGATTTCTTGGAGTCAAAGAAATCATGAATGAGGAGTTGGTACGAAGCTATTGACACATTGAAGTATATGCTATGTCCTATTACGAAATAATAACCTGATTCCATCTCCCTAAATCTAGGGATTCAACTTCATATGAACCGACAGACCATATTAAGTCATAAGTATTGTAGTGCAACTTCTTGGTACCAAAATGCTGTTACGGCCAAAATAAATCGAATTGACTAAATAAACTTCAGGCTTGCCTCCGCATGCTTAAAATGTTTCAAGTTTTGTTTGAACGAGTATGAATCTGAGGAGGTTTCAACGATATTTTGCGCTCTGTCTGTGCTGTTTAACACACATGTCATCAGAGTCCATAGTTCAGTCATATTAGCCAGATAAGTTGGATAGACTTTTCTTTTCATAACCACTATCACGTTTATACTATATATTGCCCCATCAAAAAATAACTGAATGCCATTCGTACTACTACTACTACTACTACTACTCACACTAATACTACTACTACTCATACTACTACTACTGATACTCTCCCTTCGATTACTAATGAATTTAATGATAAATTCAGGTGGGTATTTATTAGAAGGCAAAGTAACCTTGATGGATCTACTTTCTTGTTGTAGATTTTCTGGCCTAGTAATAAGTATCTTCGCCCTATTACTCGGGCATTCAACTAAGCCTACTTCAACTGAAATGGGGCGACATGATTTAAAGTCAAGGTAGCGATTTGAATAGGTAGGTTTCCAATAGACTTCTATTCTCTAAACTTCCATCTTGTTTCCGTTCAATCTACGCGCACAACGTTACTAGCTCATATTCCTCACTTTTTACGTCAGAGGTAAATAGAATTGCGTTCACTATTCGTTCCTAACTACACATAAATATGTCTTGGACAATAGAGGGTATTGGTGATCCCACAAAAACCCCTTCAACTTGTTTATATATTTTATTTTGAAACTTAAAGTCTGAAGATGTTAGACACAATCCTAATCTTAGCATAATTTCCTTGGTCGACACCATAGTTCGATGTGTGCTCATTGTCATCCTTAGGCCCATTTCTAACTGCTACCAGTGGCATGTCAATTGATAATTTCGCGTAGAGAATAATTATGTCTAAACTGGCCAATTTTTTTCACTGTTATCAGTTAAGCTGTTACAGGCTATTGTTAGCAGATAGGTGGTTCACTGAACCAATCAGAATAAGATATTTAGTCTTTCTACCAGCACCTTTTTATGTATATGAGAACAGTATACATCTATGGTCTATTTTCACTCCGTTATAATCGTTCTGTGGATTTGATGTTCAGCTGGATGGAAAATAGATGAACAGAGTGGAACAGAAATCCTTCTAGAAGTTATATGCTGGCCTTCGTTTCCTGATATTTTCATGGCTCATTGAAGCCTAAGAAATTGCTTGACAAACAGGTAGGTGACAAAAGTCATTATTCATGGATATTTCGAGTATATTCGCCTTTCAGTATCACTGTTTAATATTACCTACACTTGGAAATGTACTCGGCCACTTCAATTCCTTACTCATCCATTGACATGAACCAGTGAAGAAAGTACGCAGCACTAAACAGTTGTTTCGTCCTAGTGTTTGGGAAGCTTTATCACTTAGCACTTACAACACCATGTATTGTTAAGTTAAGACAGAAAGGATTCCCAACCAAAAAGTCAATAATTTGGTGAACGCTGAATGATTTTTTCTCTTATAATCTGATATAGAAGTTAAGGAGAAATCTTATCTGTTCAGGATAAATCATATCAATGATCACTTGATCGATGATAAGAGAACATATAGACATCTATGCAAACCACAGTAAATCGGTCTCAGAAGTATCAAATGTTACAATTCAACATATTTATGCATCAAGTATACTTGTATGCATATTTCAGCGAGGACATGATGTAGCTAAAAACGCAAAATATCCAATCATGAAATCTATATATGATAGTAAGGGTTTTACTCTGATGATTCTACGGTTTCTCTGTATGTATGTATGCTGGTAAGGGAGCAGCAAATTCAGTTTTTGTACCCTGTGGCTAAAAAAAGAATACAAACTAAATGAACAGTCTCTACTCAAAGTGATTATCAACAGTAATTATGTCATGGAGAGGTGGGTAATGAAAAAGCTTGAGGCATCCGTTTCAGGACGACTATTAAACGCCACTCTCCGTTAGACACCATAACATGGCGTTAGATGCAACTGACGAATCCCCCAAAAACATGTGGTTATTAAGAGCTGTCGGTAAAATGTATCTGAAACCTTGCATAAACCCAATCCTGTGGAAATAAGAAACCTTGCCAAGTGTCAAAATTTAGAGCTAGACACTTATATCGATCAACATCCACATGAATAGGGTTAATGGTAAGATGTTAGACACTAGGATTCATTGGTATTGAGCTGTTTTGCACTTAATTTTCTTACTTACTCGCACTCATCAGCAACGTATGTCTGCAACCATGAAGAGACCAGTCAGAGATCCAGTCCTGATGAAGTCAGAGACTTAACTACTGAGCTATACAAACCACAACAAACCCTCCGATGGGAATGGATTAGGTACACGAACCAGTTACCAGTGGGTGTGCAGTCGTTCATGCATCTATCAGGTTGGTGGTAAAATGCATGAATTCAATTTTTTTGAGTTAAACAGTATTAAATATCCAAAGGAGTAAGCATTTCTTCTTGATCACAGATAAATCCTTGTAATAAATATCAAGCAACCATAAAACTAGGTATAAAGAAGCTTTCTACTGGTTAACTCGTTTAGCTTAACGGTATTACTACAGTTGACTTAATGGTCACAATGCAAATTTAAGCGGTAAGTTTCCGTAACGATCCTATAGTCGATTCTTCTGAGTGGATATGTTGAAGAATACTGGTAGCTAAAAATGCGAATGCTCAGAATCAGATACTCTTTGAGCTATAGTTTTCAATGGAAGACTTTTCAACGCCTTATCGGACACTGTATGATATTAGAAGGTTTGCCAGTTGAGACAGTAGTTCAGAAAGCAACTTAACCTGAACATTCTAATTCATTTTGTTGGTTTTACTAAGTTTTATGGATTCCAAGTTATCGACTAACATTAGTTGGTGAACCATTAAAAATCTAGGAGTATTGGACAGCTTTTTCATTGAATTATAAAACTCCTCAGCAATACACACCATTAACTTCACCAGGGATCAAACCCAATATATTCAGGTTTCGCAACTGACATGTTACTATACTGAACCATTGGGTTAGATCTCAAGAGATAGTTTGCTTTAAATAACATTCAAACGCTGATTAAATAACAGAGAATACATCAATCAAAATTGTAGTTATACTACTAGAAAAATTCACCTTTTTGTACTACCAATATGTGCACGAAATTCAATATCCACCCGATTAGCATCCAATTTTTTTGAGTAAATTTGACAGTCTGTACATATTTTCTTTAATGTCTTGTCGGTAGCTGTTGTAGAACCCTTCTTGACAAAATTACAAAATGCTAGAAATGATTGTTTCAATTCTTCAGATGACATATTTAATCCAAAGGATACATATACAGATAATAATGATGATAAGAAATAATCCCCTTTTATTTTTGACTGATTTTCTCAATATGAATAATCTTAATTTCAGTTAGTAGACGATTATTTCTAGCGTATTTTTACAGTGTCGATTAATGTCTACTTTTTATAATTATGAATAGAAATAAAATTTTTCATTGAAGAAGTTCGTTTCATTGGTTCATATATTGATTTCTTCTTCTGTCTCTCATTCTATCATCACGTGGAATAGCTGACTGTAGATGTGGTATGTGCGTACGTGTAGACAGGGTTTTCAATGTTTTTGATTCCTTCCCACTGATAACTATGTAATAAAACGTAATGATGAATAAAATATAAAAAATAACGATAATAAAGATAATAACTCGGTCGTTAGCCTATGATCTGATGATAACCAACAATTTGATAAACCAATCAGTAGTTGAACGAAGGTAAAACTATAAACTAAAGGCAGATAGGCTGATAGACAGGCGAGTATATATGGAATACGTAAAAGAATTACATTATCATAGAATGATAGATACTAGGAATGTATCTGATTTAAGCGAAGAATAATCGTAAATGTATCAATCTCTCGAATAAAATAAACTAAACTCAAATAGACATGGCAAGTAATTCACAATGCGAACCTCAGTGATGCTTTTGAATTGAAGTGAAGACAGGAGTGAAACAAGCCTGCCTACTATCACCGACGATCTTCCTGATTATGGTGGACTAAATCATGCAACAAACAGTGGGGAGTGAGAAGAGGAGGATACGCTGTTTGACAAAGAAAAGAATCTAGGAGATTTGGATTTCGCCGATGACTTGTGTCTAATGTCACACAAACTTGAAGATGTACAGGCAAAAACCAACAAGTTGACAGAAGAGACAGGGCAGGGCAGGGCAGCGTAGGCGGGTCTTCAAGTGAACGTAGAGAAGATGGAGGTGATGAAGATACCCGACCAACACCACCACCAACAACAAGAACAACAAGCTCCAATCACCATCAAAGGGAGAAACTTAAAACAAGTAGCCTCTTTCACCTATCTAGGCAGAGCAGAATCCTTTCAACTACAGGCGGTAGTGGCACAGACGAGGACGTGAAAGTCATGACTGGAAAGACAGAAGACAGGTGTTCATTAACCTGAAACCAGTGTGGAGATCTTCTGCACTCAGCATAAAGCGTGAACAACATTCAGATTTTCAACACTAATCCAGTCAAGTCAGTGCTCATATGTGATGGTTCAGAGACTTGACTCGTTACGAGAGGGATTTCCAAGAAACTATAGATATTCATCAACAAGGAACTCTGGCTACCTGCCAACGAACCAACGAAGCAAGATCGTATCGTTGAACAAATATGCAGAAGGAAGTGTAGATGGATTGGATTGGGCATACAGTGAGAGGGCCGACTGGGGATATCACGCGTCAGGCCAGGCACTCAAGTGGAGCCCAGATAGGAAACGACGAGTTGGGCGTCTGAGGTGAGAGTGACATGGAGGAGATGGTGTGAGGAAGAAATGAGAGGTTGTGGGCTGTCGCGGAACCAGGTTGAAAAGATTGCAGAGAAGAGAGTGGAATGGAGACGTACTACTGAATCCCTATGTTCCATTAGGACCCCAAGGGGCAAATAATAATAATAAACTCAAATAAGATAATCATAGTTGGGGAATTTCTACAAAACTATACAATTCAGACTGATATTTCTGTTGGAAACGAACCAGTGAAACGATCATCCAGTGTTTACATCACTTCGATCTGGCTAGAGAAATCTCCATATATACATTAGTTCATGACACTTTTGTATTAGAGTTCAAATTTTGTGATATTGTCACTATTCATTGATATATACTTGTAATTCTCTGTTGTTTTATTGGATCAGATTGTTTGACCTTTATTGGTATATCGGCTTCTATGCTGATGCCTCGATATTGTCTGAGTGCCAATTATGGGAATTTGCTTGGTTGTGCCTTACAGAAAGGCCAAGGATGCGCGTTTCGTCCTATTTAGGACTTGACAGCTGGATGTATCTCCATCTTAGTGAATGTTGTTCCCACTGATACTTGAACTTCGTACCCACCGCTTCTAACCGATGATGCGTTATACACTATGCCACAAATGCATGGTGGCTACTTCTTGTATAACGGGTATTAGTTATTACTATTTACTGATATACTTGTATAACAATAAATAGTAATAACTGTTAGCCATTGTACAAGAAGTGGCTATCGTTCCTCCGTAGAATAGTGGATAACACCTCGTCGTTTGAAGTGATGGGTACAAGGTCCGAGTTTCAGTGGGAAAGGCATCACTCACTTGCATGGAGGTACATCCAGCTGACAAGTCCCAAATAGGATGAAACGCGCATCCCGGATTCTTCTGATAACCAAGCAAATTTGCGATATCGGCTGATGATTGGTTTCCAGTAGAAACCCAGTTGATATCTCAGATGAACAAATGAAAAACTTTTCAGTTGTGAAAAATATCAAGACGAAACTGGCAATTTGTAAACTGATCATTATATTTAAAGCACTGAGGTCTATGAATATCAGTTAAGGTGCTAATCACTCCTACAAAACTGGCAGAGCCCTGTGCTTGCAACTACCCTGGGTGGTACATCACTGAAAGCTGTTGAGAAGTTTGTTTATTCGGGTAGTTGAGTGTGTTGATGAAGGTGTGACTGATAAGATATTGCACTTGTTATTGAATACCAAAGTGGGGTACACCAATCTGTGTCACCTTTGATTCCATCATGAGACTAGCCTGTTTATCAAAGGTTGGGTATTCAATGCTTCGGTACAGGAAATCATTCCCTCCACCTCTGAAATCTGAACTTCCCTAGGTAAGCATGTTTGCCGACTTTGTGTGTTTCATGAACATTTCCATCGTAAGATTGCTAGCATTCTTTTGATGCACCACTTAAGTAATTCTGGATGAAATGATGTCTACGTTGGTGTGATGGAGGTAATCACTCACTGATTGAGGTTAGCCTGAAATATCGGCTTCTATAACTCAGACAGTTGGTATGAGTTTTATCCCAGGTACTTCCATACCGCTCCGAATTCGCTTAAACTGGAGCTAGTTGAAAGAAGCCGAGAGGTGATCTGTATATGAGAAAGCGTTGACGCCCCACGACTGTATTGATGACATACAAGACGAGACGATATCAGACATAAGTGAAAATTGAGACAATGGTGATGATGCTGAAGTTTCCTTTTTTCTTCTACTATGGAAGTATTCCATGCTTGTTTGAAAATACCTTTGGGACTGCTTCTTTGAGGAATCAGTCGATCAACATCAACGTAGAATCATGCATTACTGAGTACAGATTCAAGTTATCATACCTCATATCAGGCAGACTAACAGACAAAATCAACGTAGAACCTCGCATACAAGTGCATCGCCTGAAGTTGTCACACTTCAAAGTAGTATACAAAAACAGATGGACAGAAAGCGGATGGTATCAATGAAGATACAACTGTGTGAGATAAACATTTCAAAGATAAAGGTTAGAGCGAACATTCAAGCTTCAGACGATATCAAGGAGTGGATAAACCTACCCCATTGTGACTGATTTTTAGCCACGTCATCAATAATTCCTATCATCTCGGGATCACCAACCAGATAGTCTACATCTGTCAACACAGCTTAGACCACCATTCAGGGACTTTATGAACTGGTACTACTTCTTGGTCTGACCACTCTGAACCCTATTTCAACCTAACCCAACTTTTCTCAGCATGACACGTCAAGGGAAGCGTTGACTCGTTCGGTATGCGCTGCACATGTCCAAGACACCTCAGCGGACTAAGGTTCACAACTTCATCAATCGAATTGTCTATCTTGCCTAGTACCCTTCGCCTGACCTCAACATTACTCACACACTGAATCCACCAAACGCGGGCAATGCCACGATGTCTGGGATCAGGCCCCTATGACCACTTCATGTCTTCTACTTTGGATGGCCATGTCTCACAGACGAACTGCAGCGCAGTATACTCGTCCTTTAATTTACAGTCAAGTATCTCGCCAATCAGCGCCACAGATGATGCAAGGTGGGAAATGCTAAACAGGCCCTCTGTATCCTAGATGAGATTTCGTCAGCAACGAGCCCGTTCGGGTTGATGCAGCTGCACAAGTAAATAAAGTGGTCGACGCATTCCACCGTTCCACTTGCCACCCTTAAACTAGGAGTAGTTGCAGACCAAACCTGAAGCGTCATCTTACATTTGACAGGTGCTAGCGAAACGTATGCCAGCCAAAGATAATCAGATTTTGACTCAATGCGTTCAGGAGATTTTGCATTTTTTAAGCGTTTTCACCAAGCAGGACAATATCATGTGCATATTCCAAGTCGATCAAATGATCTTCAATCCCTGTGAAGTCAGACATACCTAAGTTTATGCCCATTAATAAGTCTATGATGAAGTTAAATGGAAACGGCGACAGTGGGCATCCCTAACAGACTCCACTAATTGTCATCAACTCATATGACAAGTCGCCGTAAGCAGTTAAACGATTGCGTGAGTTCAACTAGAACTATGAACTCTAGGATCTTGGACACAATATTAGTCAAACTAATTCCCCTACTGTTGTCACAAGAAGATTTCTCTCCCTTCTTCTAGACTGGCGCGATTAGTGAAGTAGATCAGTATGACAGGACTACCCCTGATTCCTACACATCACTCTAATAAGCAATTTCTTACCTCTTTCCTTTAAAATTTCAGGTGGCAAACTGTCGGGTCTCAGGTTTGCTACAGCCTTCCCAAGTTCAAGGAGAGTTGAAGGACCAACATCTACGTCCCATTTAGGTTCAAGCTGGACATCGGGCAAGTTAAGCATTGCTATTGGTCGGTTGAAATGTGCTTCAAAGTGTTCTGCTAAACATTCTGTTCGCCTATTCAGGGAGGTTATCAGAGTCCCATCCTTTTCGGTGGTGATTCCACTCCCCATAATTTTCTTCTTGCTGGTATCCTTAACCAGCCTAAATATTTGCAGCGTTTTACCTAACACTGCTGCCTTATCCATCTCTCTCGCCTTCGTTACCACCGTTACTCGCGACCGACGCGAAGACTCTTGGTCAACTTACATCTTAGTTGCTTTCGCTCTTCATTATGGTCACAACCAGATGGAAACACCCTTGTCGCATAAACCAGTTCGGATGAGTTTTCGGAAATCCTATGACTTTTGCTAACCTAAAGGTATAGGTTGCCTACTGTCTTTAGTGCTGCTTCTACTACAGATTTAATATCACGCCAAGTTTACTCAGGATGAGCATTACTGCCATGTCCAGACAAATGCTGAGCTAACGCCTCCCTAAATG